TTGCACAGACTAATTTTCAATCAAAACAGTCATGTCAACTAATATGCATGTTTTCTGCGCTACCCAAGTTTTTGGGTAAATATTAATTGCTCATTTGTTTAAAACGATTGTTCTTATCACAAACTGCTTGTTTGTTTTCTTCTCTCGGTTATCCGGATTTCGAGCTAATAGTCAAAATTAATAAAATCTACTCGTCAAAGCTAAAGTCAACAAGTTGATTTTGATTAATATCAGTATGTCAATGGATGGCTCGAAAACGGATAATTGCGAAAAACACCATATGAATAGAACTATGATTTTTAAGAAGTGAATTTATATATTCACCTTAACATCTTCGCTTTCTCTCTCAGCTCTCTTTCTCTCTGTTACTCGTTAAATGTAAGAATTGTAAAAATGAAAATAGATTATCGACCTGCTGGATACAAGAAGTTCTTTTCAAAGGATCTTCGGAAGAGGTCAAAACAGAGAAAACTTTCTTACGGTTTTCGCCGAGCTTTCGACAGTTTTATACTGTCATCTTCAGGGCTTTAAAACCTTAATAGGATTTTAAATAACATGGTGTTTTGGGCACAGAAGTACAATGATTTTTGTGGCTCAGCATCTCATATAAGTCTAAAAAACAAGTACAAGTGATCACAGAAAACGTTTTTTAACTATATATATATAAGATCACAGATCAATAAAATCACAGATCAAATCAATAAAGACCGATAAAAATAAACTCTCTATGAGGGAGGGGGGAAACCAAAACACCATGTTATTTACAATCCTATTAAGGTTTTAAAGCCCTGAAGATGACAGTATAAAACTGTCGAAAACTCGGCGAAAACCGTAAGAAAGTTTTCTCTGTGTTGACCTGTTCCGAATATCCTCTGAAAAGAACTTCTACAATTGTAAAAGTTATATTTTAAAATGTAAAATAATCAATTGATATCCTCACTTCTCCTTAAACAGTTCTATTATTTGTTTAGTTTGAACTGAATTTACTGAAGAAATAATAATAAAATAACACAGATTACATTTTCACTAACCCTCTAATTCTTTTCGATGTCTGATTCCATTAATTTTGTAATTAATTATTCAATTTCTCTCGTTCCCATCTCTCTCTCACTCTCTCTCTCGCTCTCTCTCTCTCAC